TAATTAATTTTGTTATTCCACAAATTCATAATTGCGGAGATAAAATCACAATCTCGAAAGAAAGAAACGGCTAACAATAAGACATGTTCCGCAATGTTAAATGAAAATTAATTGAACAAAATGAACTAACCAGTTCGTAATTACTTTCGGCTTCTGTTAAATACGACAAAGCATCTTCGTATTGGTGCAATAAATAAGATTGCACAGCTAAGTAATATAGCACGTAGGTGATTCTGCTGGCTCGCAAAATTTCTTCTGCTAATGCTACGTTAGCAAACTATAAGTATAAACACCAAGTGTTATTGTACAGTGAGTTTCATGGGAAGTTTCTGAAACTTTTATAAACGCACATAGAGAGCAAGAAAAATAAAATATCTTCTAGCAGAGGATATTTTGCAGTTTTACATATAAATTAAAAACAATCGGAGATATTTTTATTATTAAATAAACGTTTATAAAAAAATGCCAAATTTTGCTAATTTTAATGATTTATATTTTCGAAATGCGCACCGACAGAATTATAACAAAAAAATTAAGTCATTTTTGGAAACTATAAAAAACTTTATGCAACAAAAGTTACAGTTATAATTTTCGAAATCGACTTAATTTTTATTATAATTTTGACGGTGCGCTCGTAGGGATATTTGGCATTTTTTAATAAACGTTTATTTCATGATAAAAATATTGTCTTTAGTTTATACGTAAATAAAACTGCAAAATGTCCTTTGTCAGAAGATATTTTATTTTTCTTGCTTCCTACGTGTGTTTAAATATGACAGCTAATTAGTTTCAGCAACTTCCCGTGGGACACCTTGTACAACTTATGCGTTTTCATGTAAAAAATAATTTCAAAGATAAAGTATTACGTCACAGAGATACAGCTTCATTAGTAACACAGCTGTTATCATATAGACGCTATCTCGCGGACAGCAGATTGTTGTCCAAGCGAAGGCATCTTCATTCGAAATTTCCATCTCTCTATCGTTATCTTGCATACAATTTTCTGCTATACGCAAAGCGAGATCTATTCCTACAGAAAATTATATTTATACAGGGTGTCCCGTAAAGACCGTAACAACGCTTAGGGGTATATTTCTGAGATAATTCTGTGCAAAAAATCTTAATATCAAAATATTCAGGTGTAATGGTTTTTGAATTTGAAGCATTTAAAGTTAGCGAATAAGATAGCCTGAAACTTGCGCGCTTAGGTGTGTACAACGTACAGTGATAGAAGCGAAATTGACTATCGCTCCTCTGTTGTCAGTATTAATATTTGGAAAATAAATTTGCTAATACATATTAACATAAATATTGTTTACGCAATTAAGATTTTGTTGAAAATATTATAAAGAAAAAAATATTATGATACACAAAACGCAAGCTGTCAAAAATAACATTTTTTTGACATTTCTTTTTATCTTACAAATATTTGTACAGAATATTGTGATATGTTACTCATTATTTGTACAGAATATTGTGATATGCTACTCATTTAGGTATGGTAAAATGAAGAAGAAGTGCTACGTAATGTAGAAGATAATCTTACAATGAGTATTCGTGAAATTAGTCAAGTTGGAATGTCAAAAACAATGGTTCATAAAATATTAAAAGAAAATGAAATGCATGCGTTTTATTACTCAAAGATACAACATTTATTACCTCAAAATTATGCGCAAAGAGTCTTTACATATTCAATATTATTTAATTATTTTTAACTGTTATTAAAATAAAATATTGTGAAACTATTTCAATTATTTAATAATTTTATTGTACAAATATCTGTAAGATAAAAAGAAATGTCAAAGAAATGTTATTTTTGACAGCTTGCGTTTTGTGTATCATAATATTTTTTTCTTTATAATATTTTCAACAAAATCTTAATTGCGTAAACAATATTTATGTTAATATGTATTAGCAAATTTATTTTCCAAATATTAATACTGACAACAGGGAAGCGATAGTCAATTTCGCTTTTATTCACTGTACGTTGTACACACCTGATTTTGAGTATTTTTTTTTGTTCCATTGTGTTCAA